TATATACACACACACACACACACACACACACACACACACACCCCTAAAATTTCCCAGCACAGAAATAAATGATAGCTACTGCGTTATATTTTTCTAAATACAATTTGCAGTTCATTTGTGTCATTTTATTTTTATAAATGTAACATTAAAAAAATCTAAGTATTATTCTATAAAGATTATATCAGACACCTTGTAACAAAAACATCTCAGAATGCAGAGTAATGCAAAAACATTTTTAAACCTATTTTCCCAACTTTCTTACTTCCTAAATAATGCTTAACTTTTCAATAAAATACAGTTTAAAGATTTTATGCATTTAAAAAAAATATGCATTGTTTGTTTGGCCTTTACAGATGGAATATTTTTTTATTTTTTTTGTTCTACAACCATCTCAATTTGTTGACTGTGCACAGGTGCTGTCCCTGCCGCTACGGATCTACTACTATCTGAACGACGTCTGGCCTTTTAGTAATTTTCTCTGCCTCGTCTGCTTCTATCTAAAATATGTCAACATGTATGCCTCCATCTACTTCCTGGTGTGCATCAGTATGCGCCGCTGCCAGCTCATCATTTGTCCGCTGTCGTACAACTCGTCAAGGCAAAAAGGAGACCCTTTGATTTGTGTGTTTGGCTGGCTGCTGGTCTGTTCCTCTTGTCTGATATTCCCTTTGCTGAGGAACCCCAGTTCGGACAGCAATGTAAATGTTTCCCAGCAGTGTTTCTTAGAGCTGCCTATGAGACCTGTCAGCCCTACAGCAGTCTGGGCCCTCCTAATAGTTGCAGAACTGTTTGGCTTCATCATTCCCCTCATCTTTGTGTTTGTCTGTGCCTGTTTGACTGCTGGTAGCCTCCGAAAGGTAACGACAGAGGCTTTTCCTGACAGGGGGGAGAAAAAGAGGGCGTTAAAGATGGTGCTAAGCTGTGCTGTTGTCTTCTTATTGTGTTTTGCACCTTACCATATCACTTTGCCCCTGGACTTTCTGGCAAAAGTCAAAGCACTGAATGACTGCGCCCTTAGAGACACGATCCAGCGATGCCACACTGTGAACCTCTGCCTTGCCAGCCTGAACTGCAGCCTCGATCCACTCATTTACTACTTCACAAGCGATGAATTTTGGAAGCGACTGAATAAACCAGAGATACCAGACAGCATGAACTTTAACAGGCGCCTGTCTTGCATAACTGGCGGAGAGGACACAGATGAGGACGACTGATCTTATCGCTGTTGTTAATGGACCACCATCTTATTCGTGACCAACCAAGAAAATATGATGTATGCATAAATAAGTGAAAATGTGATTTTTATTTATTTACTTGTAATTAAAACAGATATTTTTTTACATTTAATGAGCGATGAGTTTCTTTCGTGAAGAACTGTAGGTATCAGCTTCCAACAGACATCAGGATATAGAACAAAATGTTTAAAACAGACAAATTTCTTAAATTCAATGACATGATCAGGAGAGCCAAAAAGACGGGGCAGTGGCCACACCTTAAAAAAGCCCCTTGCCCTCCTGAACATTTTTTTTTGTTTTTTTTTTTTAATTTCTAAAAGCTATTTAGAACTAATCGAACCTCATAATCTTACAAACAAACATTGATTTTGAGCAATTAGGAGGTAAAATTTTAAATATACATTTTGTTTTAAACTAAAAATAAAACTTGAAATGTAGTCCAACTAAATAAGGTCTAAATCCAACATGCAGTGTTATATGCATTTTATAAAACACTCCTGTTTTGCTGTTTATCAAACAGCATTTATACAGCAAGACAACATAAATCTTCAGAAATTGTTTTGAATTTTGTTTTCCAGGGGTCCCCAACCTTTGTCAAGAATCAACTAAATGTTAAAATCAGATCACTGGTTATCTCAGGTTAATTATACCCAAACTGGCAAAGTTCTAATACGTAAAGAAAAGCTATTTTATTCAACAACAAAGTCAAATTTATTTCAGTAGTTTCACACACTTTCTTTTTATCCAATCTTCTGTTAAAAAGCAATGAGAAAACCTTTAAAAGCATGTCTTTCTATGCACACATCACAATAACTGAACCCACTAAAAAATAATTCAGATGGGTTTTAGACAGAGCCATTTTTAAAACACATTTATCCCTAGTTTCAGGAGAAAACAGACTTATAGGTCAACCGTTTCACATAAATTATTTAATCAGGTAAAATATTCTTGTGCAAATGTTAAAAACCCATTTTTCTAACCTCACAAACACCTATAATAATACACAAAATAGTCATATCTATCTTAGTGAAGGTTAAACCCATAAAGTATAACTACAAATTCATTTCAAACCAGACAATCAAAATGTTTTCAATTATTGTGCAATACTCTTGTGATTTGTTCCGTCCTTTTACTCATCCTTTCTATTAGGTTACAGCTATGAATGTCCCTATGCAAACACAAAACAGCTTCAAAACACTGAGGGATGCAGAACGGGTTACTACACTAAATCAAAACCAGACAGAGGACACCTCTGGAAGCAGCAGGACACTCTGAAATATCTACGAAAGCGACAACAGACAGCTCTCACTCTGTACTGTACATCTTTTATCATCTCTACAATTCAATGCCAATTGTGGAACTGCACACCAGGAAATTTCATGCTTGCATGAACTTGAATGATTCATTCTGTGGAAAGGTTATGATTAATGTGTAACTTGAGTTAGCAATGTCCTACTTGGGGAGTTTGAAATGCCTCAACTAGTCTTTAGTCAAGAGTTAACAAGCTAGTTGTTAGCTGATGGACTAACCGCTAGCCCCAGATGGTCTGAGTACTGCTGCCACATTCAAACAACTTCAAACTAAAAAATTTCTAAGCCATTTACAAAAAAACCTGTTTTATAAATTATTACATTGTCTATTTAAACTAAATAATCATTTACAGGGAATTCTGAGGTCATTTGCAAGCACAAATAAAAGCAATAGCAGCTAGTTTCAGCAGCAAAGGACTATAACATATTTCTGTCAAAACTGTGAAAAAAATTATTAAATACTCTGTGCAAGATTTTTTTAATTTATTTAATAACCTTTATTTTACCAAGCAAATCCCACTGAGATCACAGATTTCTTTTGCAAGGGAGAACTGGGCCTGAAGGCAACATAACATGCATAATTTTAGTTTGTGGGAGGAAACCGGAGTAGAAAACCCACACAAACACGAGAAGAACATGCAGAAATAATGGAGCTGTTTAAATATGGCAGCAATAACCGTCAGCTCATCAGTTCAGTAAGGGTGAAACCACAACTGAGGTTGTTCAAAAAGCTATTTAAAATTTGCTCATCATCTTTCCACAAAATGAAACTTCAAAACAAAAAAAACTGAACTATTCCTTTATTAGAACTAAACCACAAAAGATACAATATCTCATCAATGCTGCTCTAATATTGTGTTGATGTTAGGATGACACAAGACAAGACTGGCTTAGGTGCCTTCTAGAATATTTAATTAATTCACCAATAACTCTGGATGGGATGGATGGCTGGCTGTAATACGATAATAAGTCTGCAGGAAGCTACAACAACAAAACTGCACTCAACATAACAGATTAGTGTTTACTAACGATTAGTGTGAACTATTAGTGTGCTTCAAGCTAACATCACGTGACTAGCTAGTTAATACTTGTGCAAAAAAGCTATGACCTATACAGGTTCAGAGTAAAACAGCAGCAGAGGGATTTAATCTTTAACACTGGAACTTAAAAACCACTAAACACAAGCTAAAAAGAAAATGGAAATTTTTATACAAAACTAACTTTGTGCTTAAAATCTTTTCTCATCTTATCCCACCAACTCGCTCCATCTGTCTCCATCCATCAGTCTTCAGCTTGTTCTCTTTCCAGTACTTTCTCCAACCTACACTGATGCTTTCCCATCAAGCCTTGCAGATGCGGGTCTCCGTCACAAACTTGTTCTCAAAGTGACGGATGGTGAAGCAGTTGTCGACAGAGCGCTTTTGGATGTTTCCGCCTGAGAAGTAAAGAATCACACAAATAACCACCATAAACTAAAAAATGTCTGAAATTGTTTTAATTTTAGTTGAACTGAAAAAAATTTCATTTTCATTTTATTGTGCGTGAGGTGTTTTTAGGGAGCGTTTGTCTTCTTATTTATCACCAAAACTGGAAATAATGAAGATAACAAAACTAAAGCTAGCAAGCTAACTGGATGTATTTCTTCTAACTTAAAATTAGCAATGTTAACTTTTTTGTTTGTCTGCTTCTTGTGAGTTTGACAGTTTTGTAATTTATCACTAAAACTTAGATAGCTGCTCCTACCTTTGAAAAAAAAATAAATAAAAGTATCCAATTTGAATGACCTATTAAAAATTCTAGCTCTTTAAGAAACTTTAGTTTTACAAAATGTCACAACGAAGCTTTTTTATTTGACATTTCTTTTTCTTATTTTTTTAAGACAAATTAAATGTTAAAATTAAAAACAAATATCTAGCTTGAAGTTCTGGAAAGACCCCTAAATACTGTATATTGGTTTAATGTCTGACTCAGAGTTCAGTGTGTCACAATAACCCTTGTGGTAAACACACAGGCCTGAGATGAGTCTCAGATTATTTTTTTGTTTGAGCTAGGGCTGCAACAACAAATCGATAAAATCGATAAAAATCGATTACTAAAAGCGTTGGCAACGAATTCCATTATCGATTCGTTGTGTTGCGCTATTTATGCGTCCCTCACCATGTCGCGGAGCTGATTACGTCACCCACAGAGCATTGTCAATGCTGGCTGACCTAAATAAAGTTTAGGAAGAATAAAAAAATTACCTGTAAAGATTCGCCCTGTCTGACTCAGAACCACTGGGTCAAGTCCGACAGAACCAACAAGAATGAAGCAAAAAGTAAAGAATTAGAGAAAAATTATAAATGTTAAATTTAAATAAATTCTAATAAATTAATAATAGTTTTACATCTAAAAATCATGTTTTATTCTACTTTCCTAATTCAGCAACCTATTAAATTTCTGTTATGTTTCATGTATGAGAAATACACTTTTTTTTTTCAGTCGGTATTTAATACAACTGGCAAAATAAATTGTTAAAATAGTGATGATGTGCTTCTGTTTTTTAATTCAGGAGATTATTTTAAAAAATCCTTCATGTTATGAATAGACCCTCTTGATTCAAGAGAAAACTCCAGTTTTTAAAGAAAATGGCTGCTTATCAATTCATTGCTGGTCAGTCTATAAGATAAATCAACTTCAGATCAATTAATTAGTCAATAACTTGCATCCCTAATTTATACAGGAATGAAATAAATTTTTATCTACTCATATTCATGTAATCAAGCGTTTTAATGATTTGGCCGATTAATCGAAAAAATAATCGACAGATTAATCGATTATTAAAATAATCGTTAGTTGCAGCCCTAGTTTGAGCTTAGAAGTCATCAGGATTGATTTTACATTCGTCTGCTAAATGTGTAAATAACTTAAAATATGTCTAGTGCATCTATACCTGGAAGGTTTGCACGACGTTCCATCCTGTAGGTTTCTTTTCCGTCACACAGCCGGCGGATGTAGAAACCAAGAGGTTTGACGTCACTAATACGCTCAGTGACGACAAGGTCCTCATGCACCAGATAGCTACGGTACGAATCAGACTGTGATATAAACAAGAAAAGAAAAACAAAAAAGAACTAAATGTGTTGCAACCAGAGGAAGCAAGAATAATTGTGAAAACATTTGTTTTATGTGCAACATTTTGGTGCTCTGTTAGGACACTCTTTGCAGCACCAAGCTTTAGCAACACCAAGCACAGCACAAAACGTTTCAGCAGGTTACTAAAGAGGTTCATTTTCTCAAACTAACTGAACCTTTTATATGGTATGCAATTAAGGAACAAAGAACACATTTTTATGACTAAATGTCAAGACTGCAATGTCCACATTACTTTTTGCTAAAGTGTTTATAGCTGCTCTGCATTAAACCTGTAAATTTGAGTCTTCAAGGACATTAAAGTAAAAAATCTGTAAGTCATTTACACAGTGATTATATTGTGTACCAATAGAATAGATACTAGTACTATTTCAGACACTTGCACGCTCCATTTCCTCATTTCACTGATGCACCATTACAGCCAGCAGCTTGTTGCAACCCTGCACAGGGTCAATTTTTTTTTGTGGTTAAAAGTACATACCATAATGGTATTGTGCTTATCTTTAACAAATATTTATGATAAATGCATTGCAACAATTAGCTGACCCATAAATTCTGACTTTATTATCAGAATTTTGATGGGGGAAAAAGTCTGCATTTTTAGAAAAAAAAAGTCTGAACTCGGCAAGAGCATCATTCAAGAGCAGGTTCTTTGTGATAGTTTGTGGCACTGGTGAGTCCCAGGAGAATCCATTTGATTTATGGATGAGCAGAAGGTGAGTAGATATGCCATTTTTAGATTTTCTAATTGTTTCTCAATCTGAGTGGTAGAATTAGTTTCTTACAGTGTGGTTCAATTGTGCATTTACAGTTGAAAACAGAAGTTTACATACACTATATAAAGACACATTAATTTTTTTCACACTGTCTTGATGTTAAATCAGAAAAAAACATTTCCCATTTTAGGACAATTCGGATTACCTATTTTTTTTCTATTTCCTAAATGCCAAAATAATAAGAATGTTTTTAGGGCAACTTTCATTATTTTCTTCAAAGTCAAAAGTTTAAATACACATCATTAGTATTTGGTAACTAATTAACTCAGATGTTATCAATAAACCTAAGCTTCCAAAGACATATCAATTATCTAAAATTGTTTAAAAGCATAGTAACCTGGTGTATTTAAACTTTTGACTTTGAAGAAAGTAATAAAAATTGCTTAACAAAGTTTAGTTTAAATCAAAGACAAGGAGGACAAAAGTGTTTTAAACTCTAAGCTAAACTGAGGAAACACATGTATGCACAATCTGCACATAGATCCTGCTCCTTCCTGTCTGTTGACCAATAGTAGAGAAGAAGAAGGGCAGTACGCCTTTTTTGATAATGAGGCAGAAATGCACAGAGCGCCCCGCGGAGCTATAAGCAAAAAACCGCCAAATCACGCACCACTTAGTGCATTTTTCGCTCATTTTCGGGAGGAAATTTCAACCTTCATTTGTTTCTCCTGCAAGCTCTGAACATCGGATCCGGGAAAGTGAGATGACTTTGGAAAGCTTTGGCAGGCGATATAGTACTCATTTTACTGCGGAGCCTCTAGCGCCGGTTCTGAGTCGGATCCGGGCAGGACATGGCTCGTTTTAAAGCTCTGGATCTCCGCTACAACCTGGAGTGGTTGCAAGTTCCTGGGACGTTCTCCCACGGAGATATAAGCGATTAAATGTCGTTGGGCGAGCTCTGGTGGGTGAAACGGCTGAATTCCAGCATGGGGCTGCTTGTGCTGATGCAGGGGAATAAAAGGAAGAGACCCAGTGAGGTGAAACCGTGGTGCTACATCCAGCACACGCTCTCTCACCTGGATTTAGCCAGAACCCCCTGGCGGGCGATATTTCTGCAAAAATGCATAAAATTCAGAAACCCACCTGATGGATCACATCCAGGCAACAAAAGGAACAGATCTGATCAGGTGAAACCGGTCCTGGAAGCTCAGCACCAGTTTTATAACAGCCTGCCTGCTGGAGCCACTGGCGGGCGATATGTGTGCAATAATGCATAGAATTCAAAAACCCATCTGGGAGTAATACAGTTGGTTACTAGTGCGGAAAAAAATGGATGAAAAATGAGCAAACAAGGAAACAAAGTTATTATTTTCACCCAGAGAGGGAGGAGGACTATTTTTTTTCTAATTCGAAGTCTATCTGCCTCATATGTAATTCGAGCACTGCCTTGTCCAAAAACGGTAACTTGAAGCGTTATTTCAAGACGATGAACAAATGGTACAAGATGTATTTCCCCTCCTAAAAGTTCTTTACGGACTCAGAAAGTGCTGGAGCTGAAAAACAAGCTTGCAGGACAGCAATCAATTTTCACTCGGCCCTGCACAAGGCTGCCTGCTATGAAAGCCTCATGATCCTGGCTCAACACAAAAAGTCTTTCAGCAATGGAGAAGTTATGAAAGAAGCGTTTACTGAGGCTGCAGAAGCACTTTTTCATGAATTTGAAAATAAAAGTGAGTGATCGTGGCTGCTATAAACACGTGCCGTTGTCCAGACAAACTGTGACACAGCGATGTGAGGGAACGGCTGTGGATGTGAGGACCAGCTAAAAAAAGGACGTCAAACAGTGTTTCTTCAATTTGATGAGTCGACCAACATGGTAGATGTGGCCCAGCTGTGTTTTTATCAGAATGGCCTTTGCAGACATGAGTGCAAAAGAGGAGCTGCTCACCAGGGACACACCAGAGAACAAATTTTTAATGCGTTTATGGAGATTGTTAATAATAGCAACTTGCCCCTCTATAAACTCATTTCCATAACAACTGATGGCACTCCAGCAATGACCGGACACTGCAAGCAGAGTAACTCTTTCCCAGACCTGCTGCTGAACATGAAAATCCCACTAAGGTACAGACATACATTTATTTTTATATAGCCTGCATAAAAAGTTGTGTCCTTGTTACGTCTGTATGTTGTTTTCTTTTTATTACATTTTAGACCAGACTAGTGCGTTATACACTGCCTGGCACCTCTGTGTTATTTCTTTTGCAGTTTGGGTGTGCCCTTGTTTTCTGTAACTAACATGGCTGTGTGTGTGTGTATGTGTGTTGTTTATAGGTGGTGAACCAGGTGGAACTCTTTGAATGGTCTGGAGCCGGAAGTCTGGACCAGTGAGGGACTGAGCTCTTCAGCACCTACAGATGACACCATCCTGCATGCTGCAGACTGAGGTTTGAAATAGTTGTTGGGAGATTTGTGAATCTCCACCATCATGTCACTTTTCGAAATAGTATAAACGAGAGAGTTTTACATTGTGTGCTTTGACTTTGAAAAAAGGGCAGTACTCTTGTGGTAGCCATGTTGACCCTGATAGTATTTTTGTTTTGTTTTTCCTCCCCTGTATGGAGAGAAGAGAGGATAGTTTTTTGAATAAATGGAGACGAGTTCCCGTGCAAAATATTCGACTCTGTGGTTCTTGCACTGGGCAGGTTTCCTGCCCTCATAGCTCGCACGTTACACTGAGTACTAATTGAAGCGACAAAACAAAAACAAAAATATCACAAAACTATCAGGGTGAACATGGCTACCACAAGAGTACCGCCCTTTTTTTCAAAGTCAAAGCACATAATATAAACTCTCTCGCAGGCGGCTATAAAACCCAGTGCTGAGCTTCCAGGACCGGTTTCACCTGATCAGAACTGTTCCTTTTATAGCCTGGAACAGATCCATCAGGTGGGTTTCTGAATTTTATACATTATTGCAGAAATATCACCCGCCAGTGGTTCAGTGGGCAGGCCGTTATAAAACCCTGTGCTGAGCTTCCAGGACCGGTTTCACCTGATCAGATCTGTTCCTTTTATTGCCAAGAAGTGATCCATCAGTTGGGTTTCTGAATTTTATGCATTATTGCAGAAATATTGCCCGGGGGCTTATTAGCAGGCAGGCGGCTATAAAACCCGGTGCTGAGCTTCAAGGACCGGTTTCACCTGACCAATTCTGTTCCTTTTGTTGCCTGGAAGTGATCCATCAGGTGGGTTTCTGAATTTTATGCATTTTTGCAGAAATATCGCTCGCCAGGGGGTTCTGGCTAAATCCAGGCGGGAGAGCGGGTGCTGCATGCATGACCACGGTTCCACCTCACTGGATCTCTTCCTTCTTCTCTTCCTCCGCACCCAGATCTGACGCTCAGAGCCGGCACTAGAGGCTCCAGAGTAAATTGAGTACTATATTGCCCGCCAAAGCACCTTTTTCGGCCGGTCGTTGGTTAATAACTCCGCGGAGGAACGTCCCAGGAACTTGCAACCACTTCCAGTTTGTAGAGGAGGACCGTAACTTTCCAAAGTCATCTCACTTTCCCGGATCCGATGCTCAGAGCCCGCGGAAGAAGCAAACAAAGGTTGAAATTTCATCCCAAAAATACACGTAAAACGCACTAAGTCGTGCGTAATTTGCTTATAGCTCCACGGGGGGATGTCATAGAGACTCCATTCAAGTATCAGCTTATAGGACAGAACCAGAGCTTTAAAACCCGACCAGCCACTCCGGGATCCTAAGCTCCTAGCCCGGGGAGGGGGGCTAAAACCACCCCCGGCGGAGGTCAGACGGTGTATAATTTTGGAGGTTTTTCGCTTATATCTCCGCGGGGGGACGTGGCAGGGATTTCATTCAAATTCATCTTGTAGTGCAGAACCAGAGCTTTCAAACAAGACCAGCCACTCTGGGATCTGATGCTCAGAGCCAGCGCTAGAGGCTCCACAGCAAGGCTGCGCTTCACGGGCACCTGGGAACCAGCTGGCGGGCGACCGGTTGCCCGCGAGTGACTGGTTGGGCACCCCTGTTTTAGAGTGTTTGTTTCATTTTGACACAGTTCATTATCACAGTGGACCAAAATATCACAAAAAAACAAAAGACAAAATCCAAGTAGAAAAAAATACTGATTTATTCACTATAAAATTCACAAATCTATATAACAAACATTTTCTTTTATCAATAACGAGACTCTGTAGTGTAAACTTTAAAAATATATGTAAAAATGTATCAAAAAACCAATATTTTTGATTTCACATAAAATATTGGGAAAATTCCCAGGCGTTTTTTACATTTGCAAAATGGTTCACATTGACTCCACCACTAATTCTGTCCAACATCAAAATTTAATATTTTTGTTTGCAATTATTTTTAGTCATTCTCAATGACTCCACTACAAATTCTATCCAAGATCACATTTTTTTGTTTGTAACTATTTACAAAATCTTTCACGACTCCACTACAAATTCTTTCCAACATCAAAATGTAATATTTTTAGGTTTGCAACTATTTATAAAATCATTCACAATGACTCCACTACAAATTATGTCCAACATCAAAATGTAATTTTTTTTGTTTGCAACTATTTTTATAGTCATTCACAACGACTCCACTACAAATTATGTCCAACATCACAATGGGCCTCATGCAAGAACATGTTCGTATTCTTATCCTAAATTTCTCTTACTTTTGTTCGTACAAAGGGTTCGTACGAACATGTCACGTCAGATTCAACAAACTCTTCTATCTTCAGGAAAAGTGTGTAAATGAGCTGCGTAAATTCCACCTGTTCTATCCAGCTGCTCGTGCACACGAGAGGAGATTAGCATAATTACCACCCCAAAAACACCATATAAGGCTGTTTCCTGCCTCAGATGCAAGGAAGTGTCCATTCATGAAAATGACAGCGAAAACTAAAAAGAAGAACTTTACGAGTTCAGAGATTGAAGTCCGTCTGTCAGAGATCCAGAAAAGAAAATCTGTCATTTGTAGCAGGTCAGCTGTGGAATAAAAAGAGCTGCTAAATGTATAAACAACTGTGTTAAATCGTTTTCATTTATTCAGAAGCCACACCGTCAAGCACCGTACCCCCCCCCCCTCCCCCCCACCGGCGCGGTCTCAAGTGGTCGCAGTTGCGGTTCTGAAATAAGCATTTTAAAATGTTTTCAAAATATGTCTGGCACTTTGGAGAAAATCCAGGACTTGCTGGAGGGATCATGTATCCCCATCTGGTCTGGGAACGTTTCGGAGTCCCCCAGGACGAGCTGGAAGGTGTCGCTGGGGAGAGCGGGGTCTCTGCAGCTGCCCACGCGACCCGATCCCGGATAAGCGGCGGAAAACGGACGAACGAACAATTTATATTGTTAGTCTAAATTATTACATTTAAAATTATAACTCTTATTCAAGCAGAATAGCATATTGTCAAGATAATCATGAAGTGTAATTTATTTTCAACTCAAAATATTTAAAACTAACGAAATATAAAGTTATTATGGAGGAAAACCCGTCTGGATAACAGCAGACTGACTGCTCGTAAAATATACGACAGGTCTGGACCACTCGTGAATTTTGTTCGTATCTGAAAAAATTCTTAGAAAACGAAAACATTGGTGAATGCCACAAATTCTCCTAAATCACTCGTACGCACAACTTAAGAACAAATCTGTGCGTACGAACGGTTCTTGCATGAGGCCCATTGGGTCTAAAACAGTTTGTCGTGTCCAGGTGTTCTCTTCTTTTGATAATTTTCAACATCCTCCTCAGGATTATTCAGGTGAATGTTCCACATGGTGACTCTGAACCTGTCTCTTATCTTCCCTGGAGTTAGAACAGACAAAAAAAAGATTTTGTCTCCTGTCCTGGACATTTGATGTAGACCTCATCTGGACCAGAGCGAGTCCTCCGCAACGCTGTCACCACGTCCTCCTCCTCCGCTTCCTCATTCTCTTCACAGAAAAAAAAACTGACGGGTCATCCACCTGCAGACGTAAATTAGCTTGTATAATCTTACTGTACATGTTCAATGCCAAATAAACAAAGAAAGAAAAAAAGACAAACCTCAACTCCGACGTGTCCGATTCATCTCCGTGCACGCCGCCATCATCATCCTCCTCCAAGCTCATAAAAGTACGCAGAGCTTGTTCGGCCGTCATATAACGACGATCCATGTCGACAGACAGACTAAAACTACTACACACACTGCACACAAACTTATGCACTCTAACACACTTACACAGGCAAACAAAAAACAGTGCTAGCTAAATCCGGAATCCAAATTGTCCACTATGCTCAGTCCTCTTCCTCTCTCCAAAACTTTCTCCTCCCGGGCGGCTTCTGCTCGCTTTCCTCAAGTTTTTTTCTGAGAAACGTTTTTGATTGGCTGCTTTGGAAATGTGGTGCGTTTAATAAAATCTGAAAAATCTGTGTCATTTTGAAATCGGTCACTTTCTGGTCACAAAACGTTCACTGAATGCACAGCGATGCGTAAAAACGTGCACAAAATGATGACGAAAATTATGTACCATAAACCTTGTTTTATTTGGAAGTCAATAACAACAATATCAATTAAAAAAACACGTTTTATATTAAGTTTGAAGTCCGTGCTATCCAACCCAGTTGAAATGAATGCTCAGCATGCTGTCATATTTATAACAGAAGACCTTTCAATGCATCATGTGTACGCCCGCTCCAGAGCGGGTGTCGGCCTCAGAGGGTTAATATAACATTAAATTCATCACGGCCTTTAGAAAGAAATTTTGGGATGGTCACCTCTCAATAAATGTTTTTGAAATTCTAATCGTTCAATTTTTAAAAAAAAATACTTTTACTTTTAATACTTAAATACATTTTATAAAATAAATCTACTTTTACTAACAAGTACAGTAAATGTCAGATACTTCTGTCTTTGAAAGTGCTTGAGTAGCAGAACTGTAATCCAGCTGGTTTTTTTTTTTTAAATCCTGACTCTTAAACCATACTCACCATCAGCTGTGAGAAGAGGTCAATGAGGTCCTGAGGGGGCAGAACCACAGATGTGTTCAGAGGAATCACAAAGCAGGTCCTCAGAGTCAGGTCCAGATATGCCGTCAGCTTCTGCTCACAAACACACGAGATCATCAGCGAGGAATTTCAACACTGACCTAAGAGAAGGCAACGTTCCCTCAGCCTCACCCTGTGGAAGTCATGGAGGATGTACGCAGGGTCTCCAGGTCTGAAGCGAGGAGGGGGGACGCTGATGACGGCCATGCTGTCAGAGATCTCCACCTCCTCCTCCACCTGGGGCAGGTAGTATGGCTGGTTTTCAGCTCCACTGGACATGTCAGTGAACTGCATCGCACCGTGATAAAGCCTCTGGTGGGGAGAGGGAAATCATTCACTGCATGGCTCACTCAAAAACAAAAGCAGACAGAAACAAATATAAAGATACAAAATATAAACAGTTTCTTCCTCTGAAACTACAACAGACTCCGTGTATTTACTGTAAATCAACAGTACGTTTTCTCTGTTGGGTCTAACAATCAGTTGCTAGCTGGAAATTTAGCAAACACACCAGTTTAAGGAACGTCCCACATAGCAGACAGGTGTGGGTCAGATCTGGTGTCAGGCTGGCTTACTGCTGGCATGACAGGTGGTTTGTCAACTGAATGTGGGCCAGCTCTGGCAATGATGGCACTGTTTTTAAGACAGCATGTCACATCTGGCCCAGCTGTGGTTTGGTTTATGTGGTGCTGGTCCCTCATTCTTTGCTGTATCTGGGCCAAGTGTTAGTGCATTGTATGGGCCAGAATAATTTTGTTATCTAGAGTCATAATGCTGCATCTGTCGATGCTAGAGCTACCACAGGGTGTCAGTGTGAATGCTGCATTAGACAGTATGAATGCTCTTTGACTGATTAAAACGTGATGAAACAGGAGTACAGCTGTGATCCTGCTTAACTGGTAGATATAGTTATTCCAAAAGGTCATAAACGCATATTTCAGCCATTCTGAAATGGATAGGTTTTGAATAAATATCTTACTTGTTTTAAATCATTCAATCAATTTGGAATGATAGATTTTCAGTTCAAGACCTGTGAGCTTACAGCTGTGAACCAAGACTAAAATAAAAAGCTGACATCCTAAAACAGCTCCAAACTCAAACATTTCTCAGCCGTTCATAAAAACATTAACACTGCCTTACTTTTTGCTTTATGTTAGTTATTTTATTTTATTTTATTTATTTTTTTGGGATTGCACACACAAAGACTGCTGGGGAGAGGCACCAGCTCCTCACTACCCTGCACGATGAGTGTGTGAAGAAAAATGGATGAATGATGAACTGTGTACTGCTGTACTGTGTGTAACGTTTGCACTTGCAAATAACCTCAGAGCCTAGTGTAAACAAATGTCTAACTGACAATGATGTAAAGGTTTATAAAATCACATTTGCATAAACCGTTGAAGTTGTTTTGAGATGTTAGCAGGTCACTTTGGTCTTGGCTCCACTTGGACTAGCTGAAGCTCATCACTTCTGTCGGACTTAAACTGCATTTCAGTAAATTGAGGGGCTTCAAACGGCAATGGTTTTAGTTCTTCTCAACAGAACAGTGTCAAAAAAGGCCGAATTTTTATTTAATGAGTTCAGACTTTCGAGCTCAAATCATTGGAAAGCAGATTGTTTTCATTTGATGCTTTAATAAAACAGTTTGTCAACATTGTCTTTGCCAGTCTCTCAATTTTCATAGGAATTAGCTTATAATAAGAGATTAACATTTTTGGCCTGAAACATGAGCAAAGCTTAGTTATGGTATATCAGTTAATGTTTTAAGACATAGTAAATGTAAACAGAAGAAGCTGCAAATTGTTAGTGTTTTTCCCTGCGCCCCTCGAAGAACTTGTGTATTTTATACATTCATACAGCACTCTGCTACATCTCCACAAAGTTAATCTGGATTATTCATTTTATAGAGTCTAGATTACATCCATTACAAGCTGTAAATAACTGGGTAATAATTCCATAACAGAAACATTAATGGTGGTATACAGGTTTTCATTAGAGCTTTTAAATGAACCATTATGAAATTTTGGAGATTGGAGTTCTTTTTTTTTTTTAGGATGACAGAGATTGAAGACTAAAAAAAACTCTATTTCTCTGAGGACGTTTAAAGAGCTATCGACAACAGACAGGATATTGATTGATAACTTTTCCACACAACCCTACTTCAAATTGTCCAGAATATCTATTTAAACTTGAATTTGCCTGCTGCTCTATATTTTAGCCACTGCAAAAATGGATTGACAAAATCTCAGTCTACTGAATTCAAAACACCTCCAATCGGTGACGTCTGCACTTTTTCTTAAAGTCACAAGTGTGTGAGTCAGCACTTCACCATTCGAGATCAACCAAAAACAATCCCAGAGAGCTCCTCTTCCACAGCTCAACTCTGCTCAAACAGGCTGCAGAAAGAGGAAGTATTAAATATACGGATGATGATTATGGCTTTTAAATTTTAAATCACGTGCTGGGATTACAGACTCTAGGTCAGTTCTTGTTCTTTTCCCATGACATGACAACAAGAAGAGTAATAAAGGTCATTATATTGCTCTCAGTGCTGACTCAGCTGTAATAAGGGGAATCTGTATTGATAGAAAAAGTACACAGGATTCCATTTCTCACAATCCATTTCATTTACTGTTTTTAGCCTTGATTTTCCTAAAGGTGAAAGAAAAAACCTGATAGATCATTAGACCATGTTTTCACCTACCTACCTATAACTTAAAAATCAACTAATGCAACTTACTTTTTCTCAACTAGCTAAATGTGTAAAAGCTTATGATGATGTACTGTATGCACAGGGTGAATCAGAAGTCACAGGACACTCATTTATTTCGGAAACAAATGGGGAAAACTTCATATTTGAATACCCCAGCAAGTATTCAGTGAGGGGGCCCATCTTTTAGGCCATGTCCACAATAGGGCTGCCATCTCGCAAGTCGCCATATTGGATCAAGGTCAAGTTTTAAAGAAAGGATGCCCTCATCCATAAGTTGCTGGGGCATTCAGATGTCGTTTTCCCTTATGTTTCTGAAATAAATGGATGTCCCAGACTCAATCTTTAGGGTGAATAAAGGTTTGTTGCGAGTTATTTATCAAACCTTACCTGATTAATATTATTCTATCCTGTTAAAAAGCTTCTAAACACCTATCAAAGAACAACTGCTGAACCTCAAAAATGTTAAAGAAATTGTACCTATTTTTTGTGACAACTTTTCACATCCTTCTGTGGAAATTCAGGACGGTCATTAGCTATTTTGACTTAAATACACAGTAACTTTCCTGTGTTTCAACCTAAACACATGATCTTGGTATCATTTGAAAGTTCTTTTAAAGTTTGTCCAAATAAAATAATGTATTGTTCTTTCGGCTGTTCCGTCTTTGTAGGTTGCCGCAGCAAGTCTTCTTCCTCCATCTTACTCTGTCCTTTGGGTCCAACTACCCCCATGTCCTCTCAAACTGCATCCATATGTCTCCTCTTTGTCTTTTTTGCTGGCAGCTGCGTCTCTAATCAAGGGCATAACTTTAGGTCTACCATTGGGGGGGGGGGGGCTACACTCTAAAACATTGCATGTCATTTTCAGCAGTTATGCTTAAACATACATTTATGACATCATAAAGTTTTACATCAGGTCAAAGTTACCTAAAGACAAGCGAGTTGCATCTTTGTGCTCAATCAGTTAATTTTTATTGTTTTAGAGCAAATTATGTAATTTTATTGGGGTGGGGGGGGACGGGGTATATTCACTGGATCATATTATTGTGGGGGTCATAACCCACCTAACTCCCATGCAAAGTAACCACCACCCTCTGGATGTCCAAACCATCCCAGTCTGGCCTCTCCTGTACCTGTATGTTCCTGTATCATCTCATTTCTAAACTAACCCATCCATTGCACTCCCAGAGAGAACCTCAACATTTTCTATTCTTTAGATCAGTGTTTCCCAAAGTGGGGTCCTGAAACATCAAGGTGGGGTCCTGAAAAGATTTTTTGAATTAGTTACATTTTTGCCTTAGTTGTTACAAAGGAGTGATGTTAGTGTATTTAAAATGGATAGATGTAGTATAAAAATATTGTTACCATGACCATGTTTTGTTGACCTGATACAAATGTTTATCATCCAAAATTAGCTGGGGGCACAGGTCTCTGCTACTGTTATTTTGTGGGTCAAAAGCTGAAAAGTTTCAGAACCACTGCACTTTGGTTCCCAAAGTTGGGCTTGGGACCCAATTATGGGTCATGAAGCACCTTGGATAATCTCCAGAAATCAATTTAAAGGGTAATAAAATAATTGCTGATGTAATATTTTCCCTATAATTATTACAAAAACACAAAATAAGTAAAAATAAGTATTTATATTTGTGTACAAGCAGTTTAGATTGTAAAAAAATGCCTGTGTTTTTAGGGTTATTAATGACGTTCGTGTACTCAGACCAGTAATATTTGGGGTCACAAGTTTTTGCCATGAATATTTTGTGGGTCAGAAGATAAAATGTTTGGGAACCACTGCTTTAGATGAACTCACATTTGTTTTGGGTTCAAGTGTTTTACTCCAAATGCCCTGCGTGTTACCCTCAGCAGGATGGGGCCGGCACAGTGAAACTTGTGCTCCCCAGTTGCTGGTTTTTAAACAAAATAATCTGCTTTAACGTCTTATACACACTTATACATTTTGATTTCTACAAGTGTCCAGATCCCTGTTTTCTGTTGCTGATTTGAGTCACATTTAAAAATGGCTCATTTTACATACTATGTATAAGAAACAGGCGTTAATAATAATAATAATAATAATAATAATAATAATAATAATAATAATAATAATAATAATAATAACAATGTTATACGCAGCTGACCTTCGGGGTGAAATATCGGTAGAGACATGCTCCCCCCACGATGAGCCCACTCAGGATGAAGGCAATGCCGAGCAGGGTGAGCAGACAGCGACCTGTGGAGCTCTCAGAGCCCAGAGGAGCAGAGGCCACTTCAGGATCCTGGATGGGGAGACACACACAAACGCACGCACGCGCACACACACAAATATAATACTGACAGAGCAATGATAAAATTGCACAATGCATGCATGATCTATATAAAAATCTAATTCTTTGCAGCTTTCATTTTATTTTAAGCCCCTCTTTGTTCTCTGCAGAACAGCTGTTCAGAAGATGGGCGGTCCCGTCACGTGCAGTTTGACTGCAAGCGTTTCACACCGCCACACATTAAAAAAAAAAAAAAAAACACCAGTATGTAAGATGACAGCAAACTATATCGTGATTCTGCACATATTTTCCCCGGTGCACTGTGTGCAGGCCTTGATGCGGTTCGGACCCCCACATCTCTCTCTAGTAGCCCGGGTTAGCTCACCTTCACCGCAGCTGGCACCTCTTTGCCCAGCGCCTTCTGCGCCAGAGCCGAGTTAAAAGCTATCTTCACCATGGTGCCGGCCCGGAGACGTCAGAGAGGTTTTCTGAAGCCCACGGAAGCGGAGACTAGTCGAAGAAGGACGGCTGCAAATTTAGCGTCGATTCTCTCCGCAGCTCAGCCGTGTGACGCACTTTGCAACCTCGGGTTTTATCTGCCGCTTCCGGTGCCTGAGGGGATTACAGCAACAAACACTCGAAAAGGACAATTGTGCATTTAAAACTTTGCCTACTTAAAATATACATAACTAGATATTTGACCTAATTTAAACGATTAGTAAACCAAAACTAGTAAAACAAACCAGATATCGTTTCTAGTTGTTTCTCTTCAGTTTTTGATTTTAGCTGTTTTGGCGCCATCTGGTGGCTGCACATTGAAACAACAACGTAATCCCCAAAATGACATCCTATTCATAAACTGCCCATTATTGCACAGTGAGTGAGTGAGTGAGTGAGTGAGTGAGTGAGTGAGTGAGTGAGTGAGTGAGTGAGTGAGTGAGTGAGTGAGTGAG